TATAGTTAATCGATGGATGGTAGCGAAAAATCGGAACCAGCGATCCGGTATTGACGGTGGCGCCCCACTGTCAATGTCATGCATAGGACAGTTCAGTATTTTGGAAGCAATATCACGCTCACGTTCTCGCTCACGCTCAAGCTGGGCACGCTTGCGCTCAAGTTGAGCACGCTTACGCTCTGTGTGGAGCTATGTTAGAATGCAGTGCTATGCAGTTAGAATGCGAGCCTTCATAGTGCTGGTAGAGCGATTAGAACTCGCACTTTTATGAATGGTTGTGTAATACTAGCAGGAGGAGATGGTTTCGTAGACGGGCCCGCAGTCTCTAGGACGACACTGGAGGCGCCGTCTTCTGAAGTCTCCGCTAATCCGCTTCCGTTCCTAGTAGCAGGGGGCACTGCCACGCCTGTGGCTTTACTTTTCGATCGTGTTATGAGCATTTTAGAATATTAATGTTTTTCCTTTACTACTGACACCAAATTATGTGAGTGAAACAAACAAATGCTCATTTGACTCTTAAGTTTTTTTTTAAATAGGTACTTTGGTACAAAAAAGTATGTAAAGATGGTTCATAAAGAAAATTAGGAATAGACATAAATGTAACAGCTTTTGTAGCCATACATATGAATAGCCAATAGGCATATGATTGTAGCCCTTGTACGCTGTAAAAATCTCCAGGGAAATAGTCTGATTCTGCGTACTCCACATCGCGGACATCGCAAATGATTTTATCATGCGTTTAATTTATCAAGGCTACAGCCAACAGAATAAACTCAAAGCAAGTATTTTTGCTAATTTTGCATCTATATAATTAAAGCCATTGGACACCAAAATGAGCTTACAACATGTCAAGCCAATTCCCTTAAGTATGTCCCCAAATTGAGTAATATTGTATAATTGCAAACATACTAGTAATACTATGTGGTATGAGGGCTCCGCTGTTGAAGTCCCACGAGGGTCATTCCTTGTTAACTGTTTGGAGCTATTGTAATATTATGAAGGATATCGCCAATGTACAGATATGTCATAGGGGGCATTTCACGTGAAGCGGACAACGAAAATCAAGCCAGGTTTTGGATTTTGTTCATCTTTGGATTAAATGTACTGCTATATGACCTGAATGGATGTGCATCATTTTTTTTTATAAAGCTTAGTTTATTTTTTAAGAGCGTTCATAAAATTGGTAAAATTATAGGAACAGATTTTTCGGAAGCTATTATTGATATTATTACATTTGATTAAAAAGAAAGTAACTATTGGACTTTTGAGCATAAATAACTGTGTTTCTTACTATACAGTGTGAGTCACGTTAAAGTATACATAATGAAAATAGATGAAACTAGACCTGTTTTTATCGACAAAAAAGAGGTCAAGATTTTTTTAAATTTTTTATAGAATTTTTTTTCTTCCAATTACTTATTGTAAAGAAAACGTAATAACTTTTAAACTAAGCGGTATATCCTGATAAAATAAAAACAATAATAATGCTAAATAACAGGCGATACTAAAAAAATACATAAATACACAAAAAAGGCCAACAAATAATAAAAAATGATACTTTTTGAAAAAAATCTGCTTCAAAATTCGTGTTTTTTTGGTTATTTGATAAATTTCTCCAAAAAATGCCCCTATAACCGGTAGTTTTTATTACTTTGTATTGTTCTCTATCGTATTATCTTTGTAAAACCAAAAATCGCATGTCTCTATCCCTATCACAACATTTGCTATGATCGAAGCTATAATTCTCTGCAAAGTCACATTGAATAAGTACATTACCTTCTGGAATAGTTTCCTTAAGTGTTTTGAAGAAGAGTGCTTGTTGTTCAGCAATAATTTTTTTTTTTTAAGGGACGCGCGCTGGTAGCTTGAAGAGCTTTTCCAACTTCACCGGGCAGAGTGGCGAGTACAGAAGGTACTCTAACCGTTTGGCGATCGTCGGTCGCAGACCGACGTTCGCGATCGGGCCGTATCGAGCGCATTAGGCGCCCGATCAGTGGCGAACCCAACTAGAGGGTTGCCCACCGCGGTGTTGGACCAAAGTCCAGCCTACGGCGGGCTCACTCTAGTGGGCCCGATCGAGGGGGAGTTCAGCAATAAATGCATGAGGTTTCAATAAATCCAAGCCAATACATAGGCTCTCTACGAAATCATCCGCGGGTAGCACTTGAGTGATTATTGTATATCGATCTGTACCCATCCATTGCTCAAACTGCACACTTGTCACTTCATTCTCATCAAAAACGTTATTTAAATGGTCACGAATCGCACTTAAGCCAGGACATGAAGGACAGCGTTCATTTGGACCAGATTTTGTGGTCGTTAAGTAACAAATTGGTGTAGGGTTTGAACACGTCATTCTTTGTAGACACTCCTTATAAGACGGAAGGTGCATGTTAGTTTCTGCAGTCAAAGAATCAATATGTCCCCCACTCATCATCAATTTCACATTCTGGTGGTACACACAAACACAAACAAGATGTGTGCCAGATTCTCCAGCAAGGATACATTGCTTGGGACGCAATGTAAAAAATTTCGTTAAGCCCACTTTAATGTCTGGATTTTCAGTTTTGAACTTCTGGTATAACTCCTCAATATTACACATCAAAAGTTGTTTTTGTAAGTGTGTTCTTGTGCCGTCGTTTAATTTAATAGACACGAAATCTTTCTTACCAGGCATAACTCGACTGTTATCTTCCCGAAGATAAAAATTTTTTACTAAGTTTTCGATTTCGATGGGTAGCTTATGGCCACTGCGAGGATTGGGTGATGATAGTACACCGAATTGGTCTACTAATTTTTTTGCTTTATCCGCTTGTCGCCGAGATGTCCCGAATTCTTCCGACAGTTTGTTCACACTCCAAGATTTCGGCGCAATGGTCAGAATGAAAGTTTTCATCGAAGTAGATGTAGAAGGATCATTGAATTTGTCTTTTAATTGGTTCAAAATTTCTCGATCTTCCCTTAAATCTGTCTGTATCGATTTGTTTTTGTATTTGTCACCTTCTGGAATATACAATTCTTCTTCGACGTTTTGCGAATATTCACTCGACGATTGGCTGCTCTGTGATGGTATATCAGCACTGGCTTCTGGAGGTGTTTCGCACAAAAGGCGTAGTCTACAGTTCCCACAAACATAAGCAGCAGACGAAACTCTCCACTTTGTTGCTAATGTCATTGATATTTTTCTTAAATTGTTGCTCTTCCGATGGAATGGCAATTTAAAGGGATTAAAACATTTATTACCGTAGTAATTCATAATAATTTGATCACTTATACAGAAAACAATCACTTTCTTTCACGTAAATACAACGGTAGGTACGTTCGTCCACTTCGCAACTAAGAAGGCAACTAAATATTTGAAACGTCAAAATGATGCTCAAATACGCGTTTGGCGCGCTTTTTTTAGAAATGCGCGGGAACGCCCGTCTCTGCCAACGGTAGCTGCAGTTTTGTGCTAAATTCGACCTTATCAACAGTATGCCGCGCGCAAATGTTTTTCGTATTTTGGCTGTTTATAATTTTATTGTGAATGAAATCAAATTACACTGTTTGTTGTATATATCGATGTGTTTTGAAAACAATACATACCTAATAATTGTAATTCGTGAATAGATTAACGAGACCAAACTAACAACTTTTTTATACCTAATAAGATTGAATCATTATTTTTTATCAAAAAGTAATATTTAAACCAAGTGCTCGTAAAGACTAGCCTAAGTTTTCGTCAATAGTGACGNTTTAGTGACGGACTCAATGCGGCGCGCTCGCACTGTACTGCTTCTAACTCAAAAACTAATGTAGACTCCATTCTACAACTTCACACACATTGTTTATGGACTACTAGTTATATTTTAAAATAAAAATAAACATTTAAAAAAATACCGAAGTTATGTAAAATTCGATTTAAAAACTTTACTTCCGGTTTTCTATGTGAAATAAAAAGAAATTTCAAATTTGTAGTATATAGTAAGAAACACAGTTATTTATGCTCAAAAGTCCAATAGTTACTTTCTTTTTAATCAAATGTAATAATATCAATAATAGCTTCCGAAAAATCTGTTCCTATAATTTTACCAATTTTATGAACGCTCGTAAAAAATAAACTAAGCTTCATAAAAAAAAATGATGCACATCCATTCAGGTCATATAGCAGTACATCCAAAGATGAACAAAATCCAAAACCTGACTTGATTTTCGTTGTCCGCTTCACGTGAAATGCCCCACAGGCAAAATTTTCCAAGTATAAACTGTCCTCTTTATTTTGTAAAATATTATTCTTTGCTTTAAAGCGTTACGCCATCAACTTCGCTATGTCAAATCTCATCAAGTCTGACACCAACTCGATACAAGTTTAAAAAAAAAATATTAAAAAATGAAGGCTGAGTTGCACTTACCTAATTTTCTACTGTTTACCACACGAGATGTATTGTAGACGTATAGGAATCTCTTTGGATGCATCTGGCTACTAAAAACTTTTTTTATTTATTTTGTCTACATTGCATCTGGCCGCTAACAAACATTTTTATCTTCTGTATTTTTTCTACGAATTACGATTGTCTTTTGTCATTGTATCTTAACGCAATTATTTTAGAAATATTTTGTACTTTTGCAACCCGTATGATTTTGTATGCGGTGGTTTTACCTAGATAGAAAAAAATATGTGAAATTGAAAATAACAGTTAACAAATAACGTCCAATGTAAGTATTAGTGGAGCACGTTAATTTAAACGCGCTCAGCTTTTAATTGACTTTATGACTTACCTAAATAGATAGGTAGTAATTTTATTGTTAGCTTTATTTTATTTAACAGCTACATTGAATAGACACAAATTACGTATTATATTATCACATCCCTTAACTTATTTATTTACTTTATCACTTTTGGAAATGTATCAAAATTTCAGTGTGAGGACCCGAGCACCACATATTATCTCTCAACTACATAGTAGGCGTAATTGAATAAGATTTTGACATTACAGCTGTATATTCTTTGTTTTCAGAACTAAATGAGCCGCCATGTTCCTATTTGGAGGGACGAGGAAGCAGTCGCCCCAAAGGGCTAGGGGGCCGGCCATCTTGTCGACCGCGGACTGCGGCGTTCCATCCATTCAGATCGTATCCAACAACTATCATGCCGTGCCTAGGAAGAGAGGGCTGGCTGTAAGTATAGATTATACGATATTTTATCAAAGATTTTCCAAGGCATTTGGTTCATCAAAACTCACAGCACAGGCTACTTGCGAGTTAACGAATTAACGTGAGAATTCTGAAAGTAAATATTTACTATTTTATTGAGCTGAAACTGTGCAAATAATTATACTTTTAAATATATTTTCGTTCTTCCTTTACTGGTTGGGTTTTTATTGGCGGTCAAGCTGTATATCCTTTTTTTTTTTTTTTTTTTTTTTTTCGACTGGAAAATGCATAAAACTGCATACTCACCGGCCCGGGGGAGCCGATGAGTTATGTGGGACTCTCCTCGCCTGAAGGGCAAGGCCTACCCACTAAAAACCAGTCGGGTCCCTCTGGTCGCGCTTAGTGGGGCAGCGTACGAGTCGGTGAATCGTTCGCATGCCTGCCCCCACGCATCGGCCGCAGCCTCGCTCTACAGACCCCTTCAAGGGGTCATCTCTCCAAAGCACGCGGGGACTCCGCGCGCACTTCGGGCCTCAGTGTTAGGAAGCGGACGCCCCCGCGTCCAGCTCCATGAGGCTAGCCGTTCGGCCGGGCCCAGAAAGCACCGGTTTCGACTTCTGCTGCGGCTGAGGGCAATCTTTTGTCCCCAGCGTGTGGTCCGCTGCCTTTCCTACCGCTGAGCAAAGTAGACAGCGGGGTTCATTGGCGGGACACTCCTTCCTCTGGTGCCCAGGCTGACCGCATCGGAAGCAGAGTGCACTGCGGTCGCTGACGTTGGCAGCGCATTTGTGAGCAACATGCCCATCGCCCCAACAAGACACACACCTCAAAGGTCTCGGTTTTAGCAACGTAATTTGCACCGAGGCCCATCCTACAAGTAGCCGACGTAGACTTGCCAGCTGTTTCGCCGTTTTCGACGGCACCCGCGCGATGACACTGCGGGTGTCCCGGGTTCCGCTTATTTTACCCACTTTAATCTGTTCTAGTGGGCACCCAGTTTTGATGGAAATAGCCGTAGCGAGTTCCGACTGTTCGATAGATNGTTGATTTCCTACGTGTGGTTTTCAAGATTTTGACGTGTATAGAAAAATACAAAATTTGACCAAAATCAGCGTTTATAATATTTTTGAATGCTTAAAAATTTTATTTTCCACGACTTTTGTGAATGAGGTGTAATGGAACTATCACGTTACATCCTCCAGCAGTAATCAGCCATCATATACCGATCCCATCTGCCTTGGTACCTCTCTTCCAATGGTTTTTAGGTCTTGATAGCATCGCTCTCCCTATTCTTAGCTATAACATGCTATAGTGACCCAAGATTCTCTGGGAATTGGTCAAGATGACTCTGGAGGTAGTGCTCTTTGATGAAAATTATGACATCCTGAGTTTTTAAGGCATGTCTCACAATTTCAGAGTAGTTACTGGGCTAGTGATTTCCGAAAAAAAATTTTGTAATTTTAATTAACAAAATCTATGCAAATCGTTCCAAATAGTCCATGGAACTTAAGAAAATCAGTATCTTGATTTTTATAGACCATTAAAAATTACTTTATAAATTAATAATAAAAAAAAATTATGCTTAAACTAGGATTTTTTTTTGTTCTTTCATTACTTTCCCCACTCTGAACTTCATGTTACGGCTTCTTTGACCATTGTAACATGGCCTTAAGTGTTCACAGCAGATTATACAAACAATTTTGGGTATCCACGACTTAAATACAACCACAATTTCCGACTTAAAGTAAGAAAAATAAGCACTTTTAATAAAATGTTGCCTGAATTTTTGAACTTTTTAACTGTGTACACACCACAAATGTAACAAAAATACATTTTGATTATTGAGACAACTTCTTGGCAATGTAGACATGATATTAAAATAAATGCATTTATAAAAATGTACCGATAACACTACAAACTGTGCAACCAAAGTACCGATTAAAGCTAAATTTTAAAACTGAGGGTAGATCCAAAACTACATGAAAAAAAAATAAAAATATTTTTATTATTACTAATACACACCTAATAATAAACTATCAACAGAATCTCGGCACCATTTTCATTTTGATTTTTTGTTGACCAGTGTAATCTTACACATATTTAGACTACAGAGCGTCAATATTAATTTATGTCATGAAAAAAGTGATGGACTTAAAAACCATTTTAAAACTTGCGACGTTACGGGCACATCTATTGTTGGTTAATGTATTGTACCTACTGCTTACACTTAGAAAGCATAGATTGAAATTCAATCATTTTCACAAAGTACTTATCAAGAATATTTGAGAAATAATGTCCCGTTTTCTTAAAATGACGAAATAACGTCCTTAGAAGAATAAGTTTATGGGTATGGGTATTCAATGTCATCGGCTGTCCAAAAACAAGGTTAACGTAGGTATTATAAACTAAAAAAAGTGATACCAGGGATGCCATCTAGTTTCATTTTTAGGAACAACGTCACGCGTCGGTACTTATTGGCAAGAGTAATGCAGAGACGAGTTCTAGTTCTGATATTTTCAGATAGAGGAACTTTAACATGAACTTAATATTAGGTTATTTATGATTATAATCTGAAATATGATGACCTTGACATATTTAACATGAGTAAGGCGGCATTTAAAAGGAGTCAATATTTCGCTGAATGTATATCTCGGCCGGCGGAATGTGGGGTTTGGACTCCTCTCCTATCTATCTATAAATTTTAATATAATCTTGTTTTTAATTTTAATCAAATAAATCTATTTTGTATCTAGTTCTAGACTTACCTAGCATGAATTTGTAGCAGTTATGAAATTTAGTAGTTGGCTAAGTATCTCTGAATGTCTTTTTCAAGTATGTAAATTGTAGATTGCTGTTGAGTTTCTCAATAAATAAATAGCAGAAGAAAATCTGTCAAAACCATCAAAAAGTCTATTTCAAATCAAGAACTTTCTTCATCAAACTGAGTTTTGTAAGTGAAGCCGCAAGCAGAAGCTAGTCAATAATAATCGCCGATTATGGCTCCAGTTGTTCAATAAAGTGGTTGAAAATTGAAGCTTCTGATTTCGCTTTGTGAGCTAACCTTGGGGCTTTAATCCATAATCATCTTGAAATACCGCGCGAAATACGGACATAAAATATTATTTTAATAAGCCTTTTCGCTTTCAACGGCTTATCTGGCTGAAAATCATGACGATGATTTTTTTGCTTGATCCATAATAAGCCTGTAAAAAGATACAGTTACTTCAAGTGTATTAGGGTTAACTAATATTGCCCCTACAATGCTCATTTCGCTGTCAGGTAGCCACCAATTTGATTAAACTGTTTGAAGGTTATACAGGGTGGAAACGTTAAGTGATCTCACTCGATTATTTCTAAACTATACAAGATATTGAAAAACTGATTACTGACTCTGAAAGTGCTTCACAAGGTCTTTCAAAAGATACCAATAATAGGATACAGAATAAACTGGATCTATCCGCAAATTCAATGTTTCCAGCTTCCATACATTTAGTAAAACCACATAATATTAAAAACTACACAAGATATTCAAAAACTGGTTACTGATCCTGAAAGTGTTTCACGAGCTCTATCCAACGATACCAATAAAAGGTTACAAAATAAACTAGATCCATCCGAAAATTCAATGTTTCCAGCTTCCATACATTTAGTAAAACCACATAATATTAAAAACTACACAAGATATTCAAAAACTGGTTACTGATCCTGAAAGTGTTTCACGAGCTCTATCCAACGATACCAATAAAAGGTTACAAAATAAACTAGATCCATCCGAAAATTCAATGTTTCCAGCTTCCATACATTTAGTACAGCCACTCATGGGACTCATGTCTTGATAATATTATTGCAACTAAATCCTAAAACCAATGTTTTCCAAGAATAATTTTAAATAAGAATGCATTTTACGAGTTCATTTTAAGGGTTTATTACTTAATAAAAAATAATAATACTTCTAATATTGTTTGGCTGGCATAAATTTAGTATGAAGGCTGAAAACATTTAATTTTCGAATAGATCTAGTTAATTTTGTAACCTTTTATTGGTACCGTTGGATAGAGCTCGTGAAGCACATTCAGGATCAGTAACCAGTTTTTCAATTTCTTGTATAGTTTAGAAATAATCAAATGAGATCACTTATCGTTACCACCCTGTATACTTACATAGCCCAGAATCGATGACCCCATCACATGACATTCCGATAATGATGGCCAATTACGAATAAACACAAAAACCTACCACGATGAAATCGCAAGCTTTACAGTTCGTTGGCATGCTATTAAGAATTTATTATTCCATAAGTAGTCCCTAAGAGCCTTTGTTATTAAATCATTATTATTAGGTTGTCTTCTTCAATTCGATTTAGTCCCCAAAACGTCGTGAAACACGGTAAGAGAATTACGTTGATGACGTCAGAGCTTTGTATATGTTATATTCAAGTATAAGTATATGCACGAAAGGGTTCTTAGTACCTACAAGATGCTACGGTGAATGGTAATAGTACCCATTTTAGTGAATTTAGCATAAAGCCAAAATTAATGAAGATGACAAGAAGTCTAGACAACCTAAACCTTTAAAAATCAGAAAAGCATTTATTTTTCCAGTATATCCTATTAATATCTGTTAACATAATTTTGTTTTCGTTACCAATTCGATGTAGGTTACGTAAACAAGGTTGTAAAGAAACAGCATTGCCTTAGAAGCACTTACGAGTCGTGTCATGCGTGGCGGCTTTCATAAAAATAACGTACACCAAACCGTTTCCAATAATGCGAGAGTAATTCTTTTAACTGTCTCCGCTGACACGCGTCATGGTTCAAGATAAATGGACTTCAATGCAGTAGAGTCTGTCTCTTGAGCTCTTCTTATAGACTTAAACAACCTTGGCCCAGATAGTTAATCTTCTTTTCGTGTCGACAACAAACCTACACAGTGTCAGCCCAAAATTTCGCCACAAGAGTAGCGTTGTCAGCAGCACTCATCAAATCCTCCCGAGTGCAGTTGCTTGGGCACTCAGGGCACGACATCAGGTTCTTCATCGACTGATAGTTAATAATCCAATGCGACAGCAAACAGGCCACAGGCCCAGAAAGCTGCATTGAGCCATACGTGCTTGTAAATCACTGAATGATTTGTGTGATGATAAGCATGTCAGTTCATCTTGAAACCAAGTAAAAACGACATGACAAGAATACTACCAATGTAGAGTATTAATTCGAGTTGCTGGCTTTTTTCTTCGTAAATATTTTAACGTTCAACGGTGTAAAATGTGTGGTATGGACAAAGCTACTACTTCTGTTTCTCTAGTAAAATGATAATAAAAACGTAACGATGCTAAAAGTTATCGCTCGTCTAGCTCGCAAAATGTACACGTGTGGCTGTAATTGTATGATGTTACTGAGTGCAGGTCACGCGAATTCTAAAATGCAGGCAACGCATCTACAAGGCAATGAAGTGGAACGAAAGAAATTAGGTTTAAATGCCGAGGATATACTCGTACAACATATGATACAACGGTCGGTTTACTACACGTACGCTGAGACACATATTATTTTGTTGTAACGTAGCATAGTGTAGCATGCAATGTGTCAATTCACAAGGTTATTGCCCTAATAGAAAATATAGGAACCACTCAGCCAAGACATTGAGATGATATGATATGCTATGGCAGGCATCCTGTAAGTATCTCATCTACATTTACATTTGAATCTCATTTCACAAAAAATCCTTTTTCTCTACATCTATGTTACCTTTTTTCTCGGTTAAACACGTGTAAGATTTAAAATGCATTCATAATGTTTTGCATCAAAGTTAATTACTGTTGCCATTAATCATAATAACCCTTTTAAAGATTCAAATTCAACTTTGCGCTCGAAGGTCGAGGGGAAACTAATTTACTCCTGAAGCCAAATAAGGACTAATCAAGTCACATGTACAAGCATGTGCTTGGCTCCTTTTTTGTACCGGAACGTTCTACTGGTAGTACTACTAAGAATTTCCTGTGACCTTGTTTACGTGCACTAAAATTGTTTTAGTTAAAGCTTCTGACGCTCGTGTGGCGGGCGGTCATGGCCTAAAGTAAATAAATTAATAAATAAAAGTAAATTCAGTTGAGAAGTACTAAGGTTCCAAACTTCCCACTAGTCAATCCTTTGAAACTAGAGAGGTGATCAATAATAATAAAAAAATCATGTAAGTTAACTTACTATATGAAACAACTCAGCAGATTCTATAGATATAACGTGTGCACAAAAGTGGCTCCTTTTTAGTTGAATGAAGCTCGACCTTGCTTGTATTACTCGTATATTGCGGTGTAACCAAATATCAGGTGTCCTAAGGGAGAAGAAACTTACTGTTATTTAATCTCTGGATTCGTTTAATAACGTCTAGTGACCTAGTTTTGCTCGTACTACTTGGAGGTCTAGGGTACAAGTTCTTGCTAAAACTCATCTTTAATTGATAGTGAAGAAAACACAATATTTGCTATGGAAAGAAGAAAAAATACAAATGTGGTGCTCTAGATGGCGACACAGTAGCTTCTTGTAAAAGTCAGCTCTCGCATCGGCATAGTACCGATCCTGACGCATGTAAACGAAACGTTGGTCGACTCTGACATAAGCTAAATTACACCAATAATATTGTTGACGATATTGAGTAGACATTTTTTAAATCTTTCTGTACATAGTAAGTACCTAAATAGTATTATTCTGTGCTCTTGCTTTAACCTAGTATATTTTTTTCACAGGAATGGATGTGGACCTTGACGGGTCACAACAGAGAGGTTACAGTGAAGAGGGAACATGTAAGCGAACTCCAGATTATGCTACCGACCCCGCCTCAGAACCAAATCAGTTCTGGAGACGTCTGCTTGCTAGCTGAGAGTCCTTACAGGATTTTGAGGGTAAGTGTCTCTCAATATTCATTTCTAAGGCTGGGAACGTTTTATTTAGCTTTATGTCTGCCTATCGGTCACAGGTTTATTCTCTCTAAGAGTGAACGCGAAGAATGTTCTTTCGCGACTAGGGAAATAATTGGACAACAAGATATATTTGCATTTAATAGTTTGAATAATTATCATGTCATTCAGAGAACTTTCCAAAAAAGGTCTTTTTTATTCTAAACTAAGTACACATAAAGCTGAAACGGACTAAGTACCGTTTATGCTCAGTACTACTGAAGGTCTTACTTTTCTAATTATATGGCTGGGACTGAAAAGTTGAACTATGCCTATCCGGATGAAGATCCGGCAATCAAAGATATTTTTTCTTCTCATGATTTCATCGTCTTAAAAAATTTGCTATTCATAAGTATTTCTCTTCCTGTTGGTAAAACCATGATATTATGCCTGCTTGGACCTTCATAAACAAGTAAATTTCAATTTGAATACATAGTGTTTGGTCGTTTGGTCCTAGCAGAGTAATAAGCCATTCCCATTCTTCCTCTAGTAAATTAACGAGGTTCGTCGTACTCTTGTGGTGGATATTAAAAGACCAAAATGATAATTAAAGTTTAGTAAAATGTAAAATATGAATATTATAAAGATTCTATTTCGAATATGCTTTTACGATAGACAATGCCTATCTGGTCTTCCAGAAGTCTCTTAAAATGTCTTTTATTGCCCAGTTGACGCTGTCGCGGTGGGAGCTCCGCTAGCCCCAACGCGACAACGCCATCTAAGGTCCTGGCGGCTCGTAGCCTCCCTATATTGAGAGTTGAGACCTAGACGAGTCTAAATGTAGAGATCATGCCAGCGCATGCGTGGCGAGATCGCTCGCAGCTTCACCTATGTTAAAATTTAAAAAAATCCACACCTAAAGCAAACATTTAATACATCGTCAGAAGGATAGATTTAAAAACCATCACCGTATTTATCAAAGTCTTTATAAATTGGTCCAGACCCTGGCACTATCCTTTACTTCGCGTTTATTTCGTACCGTTGCTAAGATACTACAAACAAGACAGCAGTCAAAAACAGAATTCTTAAAGAAAAATAAAAAATATCAAAACAAAGAGGTTCGGTTTGCCACATTCTCCCCCCTCGTATGCCAGCCAATACGCAACATGAGGAAAATGTGACAAACCGTTATGAGCTAATAACAACAATCTTCTTGACTGTCTGAATGAAATATCAAAAACAAAGAGGTTCGGTTTGCCACATTCGCCTAGGTAACAACGTGGGATGCGTGTATTCGCAACAGACAACAGCTCATTGAACCAGTCTTGCCATGTTTTAATTACATCCGTAGGTAACTATCCCATTCGTCCCATCCCACATTGCTCCGCCAGAGCGTTTGAAACAGGACACGTCCTTTTACTACAATGGGTGCAAGTAGACCTAAAGGATTGTACACGCGCGTCAAATGTGACAGCGCTTGACGTTTGGTTAGCCCAGCTAACTGTGACCGGAAGTAGTCGTTCATGCCTATCCTAAAACCCAAAACGTCCTCTTAGGTAACCACTATACTCCCAGGGCTCGTATCGGAGTGGTCGGCAAGCCTAAATGTTCTTCAGGAGGAAGAGCCGCATGTAAATCAGATGGAACTAATGATAATGCCTTAGCGTTGTTGGAAACCCAGCCCCTCATTTCGAACCCTGCCGATTTGTACACTGTCACAATGTCAGCGGCAAGGCTAGCGGCTTCAGAAACGTCATCTAAACTACCGATGTAGTCGTCCATGTAGTGATCGTGGAGTACGGCGTCGGCGGCTGATGGATATTGATGAGCTTGTTCTAGGGCATTTCGATTCTTTATATATCCGGCTCGAAGGACCAAAACGTGTTGAGGACAGTGAGGGATCAGAGGTTTGGCCGTGCAAAAAAGTGAAAAATATCCAAGTAAAACTTCGCGTTTATTTCGTACCGTTGCTGAGAAAAAGCAGTCATAAACAGAATTCTTAAAGAAAAATAAAAAATATCAATAACAAAGAGGTTCGGTTTGCCACAAGTGCTATTACAAGCACGTCTGAATTCACCGTTTTAATTATAACACTGTTGTGGTTGTTTCGTGCAGCATCAGCAACGTGCAATAGTCTGGCGTCAGCTTCTTCGTGAGTTGATGATGACATTTGCACTACAGATCCTGGTGTGAAAATAACTTTTTCTTGAAACGTGCAAACGACAGTGTTTCCATTGACTTGAATTTCAATCAGATTTTTTGCCAAAAGTTTAAACAATTGTTCCTTGTTTTTGTCGTGGGCTAAGAACATTAAAAACATACTTAAATGGTGTAGCAGGATAGTTGAAGGATAAACGATACTTATACAAAGTATCCTTTGGCCACAGTTTCGAACTTCAAGCTTTGGCAACTTTTTCCAAGACTATCCTGCTGCGCTATGATTTATTTTTGTATTTTCAATCGATTATTGAAGTTTTAAAAAATATATTTATATCCATTTTAATACTGTGGCATTTGCCCATTCTTGTAAGTTTTATAAACATACATACAATATTGTCATTCACTTGTCTTATTTCCCAAGTAGTTAAAACTAACAAACTACACGCGCGTGAAGTAGAGGGAGAGCCTTACAAATAACGATGCAACTTTACAGTTTTGATTTTCAGATAGCTAATGAGTTGCTCGTTATGTCAGCCATATATATTTATGTCTATAGTGTATAGTTTCGATGCTGTATTAAAAAATATTAGGTTTTTATAGCTTTATACTTTCATTTAAATTTACATATTTTCTGCAGCACAATCTACGCGTTTTACCAGTTTATGAGAGTATTAACATGTGGCAAGCAATCAGAAATTTTTTCGCGAATGTAATTGTATGATCTCGGGCTATAGAAATGAACCGTTAATGCAAATGTTTTCAATTCATCAATTTAACTGTTTTTGGGCATATTGCTGCGACACCGGCCCCGCCTCCTTGTACATCTCCCTTTAGTTTCTGTCTGTTATCTGTGGTTGAACCTATCACATTACAATATTATTCAAAGGATTCACCGGCACTTGTTTCGTGTTAGTAATGCTTACAGCGATTGAGGTAGATACAGAAGGCTCTCTCTTTCACAAGAACGTACCATGAAGTACCTAATGCTACATACAAAAACCGGCCAAGTGCGAGTCGGGCTCGCGCACAAAGGGTTCCGTAGCAGCAACAGTTAAATCAACCTATCTCAAAAACTATAAGAGATACTTTGATCAAACCAAAAATCGTTGAAAGAGTTAATTAGCATGCATCACCTCTATTTTTTTTAGAATTTTATACCCCGTATTTATAAAAATAGAGGGGGGGGGACATACTTTTTACGACTTTGAGAGCTGATATCTCAAAAACCGTTCACTTTAAGAAAAATGTTTTTTAGAAAACTTTATATCATTTTAAAAGACCTTTCCATTGATACCCCACACGGGTATGTACATCGAAAAAAAATTTTCATCCCTCAGTTACATGTATGGGGGGCCCCACCCCCAATTCTTTTTTTTACTATTTAGTGTCATAATTTTGTAGCGGTTCATACAACACATATTCCCATCAAATTTCATCACTGTAGTACTTATAGTTTCCGAGTAAATCGGCTGTGACAGACGGACAGACGGACAGACGGACAGACGGACAGACGGACAGACGGACAGACGGACATGACGAAACTATAAGGGTTCCGTTTTTGCCATTTTGGCTACGGAACCCTAAAAATTGGCCAAATGCGTGTCGTATCACGCGCAGTGTAGGGTTCCCTAGTAGTCCGTGTGAACACAATATTTTCAGAAGCAAGCAATTACTTCATCTAAAGTCACTTTTAATATTTTCGTCTAAGGATTTTTTATTAGGTATGAAATTTTATAATACACGAGTTAAATCGCTATTACTCTTAAAGTAACTAATCTATATTAACCGTCATAGTTTTCCTGGAAAGTTCATAAAAAGCACTATTATTGTGAATTTTTCCAGATTTTTTAAGCCAACAGTTTAGTTTTTAGAGGGGGGGACAAATATTTTGAAAACGGATTCCTAAATCGAAAAATAGTCTTACAAACCCCTAACTCATTTTAAAATACCTATCCAACGATACCCCACACGATGGGGTAAGGGATGAAAAAAATATCATCCCCACTTTAAATGAAGGGGAAATACCCTAAAAACATATTTTTTTAAACTTTTTCTATCTACCGTTTTGTCGGCGTGATTAATATACATACCTCCACAAAATTACAGCTCTCTAGTGCCAATAGTTTCCAGGCAAAACTTCGGACAGACAGACAGACATATCGAAACTATAAGGGTTCCTTGTCAGGCCTACGGAACCCTAAAAAATAACAGTCGTTAGGTACTAAGTGATTTTGTATACTTATGTATCACTGCTTAGGCCTTTAAAAATTTAGTTTGTCACAGATCTTTATAAATTATAGCCTGCATGTTATACTGATTTAAGTTTCATTAAAATCCATTCAGTAGGTTTTGAGTGAAAGAGTATGAAACATCCATCCTTACATAGGTTGTAAGGCCTCAGCCTCGAACTTAGCGGGCAGCGGGGCGGCGGCGGCGCGGGAGCGGCAGGATCTTATGCGTAAAATCAAATAGACCGGTTCTCGAAAACAGCGGCGCGGCAGCGGGGCGGCAGCGGGCAACGAGCGGGCAGCGGCGAGGGAGCGGGCAACGAGCAGGCAGCGCACTCCTTCTTTTGGAAGCTTCAGCGTTAGGAATAAATTTGAATCGAAATAAAATTGTCGCCGTTGTTCAGACATTTCGTTTGCGAATAAAAACAAATATCTCGACAACGCAACCCCGAACACAACACTTCGCCGCTAAAGCGCCGCGCGAGCTGCCCGCTTGTTTCGAGAACGGGTCTGCGTTGCCCGCCCCGCTCCAGCGCCGCCGCACGGTGGATNGTGCGCCGCCGCTCCCGCCCCGCTGCCCGCTAAGTTCGACGCTGAGGCCTTAGGATGGGTGTTTTACTTTTGACACGGTAAAAGTGAACTTTCTTTGTCCGTCTATTTTATGACCACGATTAAATGGATCAAACAGCTCTCTAGATAGCGATAAAGGCATTAAACACTTATCTGCGATTGGGTTATCTTTGGCCATGATAAATCTTAATGCTATAATTAAGTTGCAATATGGTCGAAGCTTTTTTAATCTGCAAAGTAGCTTGTTGAGCTTTCTAATCTAATGAATGCATGAAATTGCACAATGATTTCTATAGTTTCGTTAGGCAAAATTAACATGTCCATCATCGTTGAGCCGCCCGTATATTATCATTTCGAAATCTTGTATGTTATTTATTATACCAAAGGCTAAAACCTTTGTAATTTCACAATGATAAAACGGAAAGTAAAAATGATTAATGAAATAAATGATGAGCTCACAAATTTAGTTGAAGAAAACCAATCAATTGCTGTTAAGGCGATTACATGGCCGAACGACCTTGAGCATTAGAGCGAGACAACGCGCCTCTCGCCGCGCGCCCGCGCTTCTGCCCGATACCAAAGTGCGCTCAGAATACAGATGCGAAGCGCTGCCAATTCTAACATAACTGCCTACGGGAATGTTAACTCGATTTTAATTTACGCAGATCGAAAAAAATTGCGATGATTATTTTGTGTTTCAAAACAGAATTTAAAAAAAGAAAATAAATCATTATACAGAATAATAATAATTATCGTCAGCATATTTTCAAACTGAAACAAAATTTAAATAAATGATTATATTTCAATTAGACATCATTATACTTTAATTAGTACACCTATCGCCTTAATACAATTCTTTATATCAATTACTAATAATACAATTTTTTATCCATCATGGACATTCGTCAACAGAAAAAACATTTTTAATAATTTGTTTTAAGAACTGCCAACTAAACTACTTTTATCTTAAAGTTTGTACATCGAGCATCATCTTTGTACTGGGAGAAGGCTTATGCCAAATACGTGTGTGGTACACCGCCACACTCCCCCCCCCAGAGGCCATCAATGCCGGTAATGGTCGGGGAAGCGAACGTGGCGTCCCGATCTAGTTGTATTCTCTTTGGCGGGTTCTGCTTGCTCTGTTACTTTATCCTTTGACTTTCTGTCAGCAATATTCTTGACGGCTTCTGGACTTTTGGACCTTCTGCTGTCTTTATTGGTGGTTGTGGTGGTGTCCTCCAGTAGATAGGCCGGTTTCAGACGGTCTATAGATACTGTCAGTGGCTTTCCTTTCACCAGGATAGTGAAGAACTTGTTAGCTCTCTTTAAGACTGCATGCGGTCCTGTGTCGGAGGGCTGTATAGTGCACCACGCAGAGCGTCTTCTCTTAGAAAAACGTGGCTGGCTGTGGGCAAGTCCTTGAAAACGAATATCTTCTTCGGGCCGTGCCGGGATGCCCGCTACCGGCTGCAGATCTTGAACCACGTTTCTAAGTCTAGCTGAGAAGTGTGTCAAGTCAGAAGTCGTGTCAGTCGTCGGTTCAAAAAATTCCCTGGGTAATCTGAGCGTTTCTCCGTAGACTAGCTCGGCGGACGAGGTTTGCAGGTCTTCCTTGAAGCACATCTTATCCCAAGTAGAACTAGCAGAAGCAGCTCAGTCCAATTTAAGCCGTGACAGAATATGATAGCAGCTTTTAATTGCCTGTGAAATCGCTCGATGAGGCCGTTACATGCCGGGTGGTACGCCGTCGTTCTTCTGTGTTTGAAGCCGGCTATTTTAGATAAATATCCAAACAGTAACGATGTCTTCGGGGCAACCGAAACGAGAGACACGATTGTTTCATTTGAACGGGGATTAATCTTAAAATGAAATGAATGATTTTTTTATTCAGAGTAGATAGTAAATACTCTACTTGATAAAACTACGGCGATTTTAGGTTAGGTATTATCTGGCCCACCGAAAATCTGGACCGCGGACCAGTTAATAACTTTTTAAAATACTAGTCTTCATCTCGTCCGAAGGTAGGTATTTAAGCCTGTCAAAACACTAGAATATAACTCGTCCAATCTATAGTGAGATAGGAAGTATGCTTAGTCAAAGGGTTCATGTCAGTAAAATTGACAATAAAATAGCAATTCAAAGTCATACAACTATAATAGCAATAAAGATATTTTTTTTCATAATAATTATAAATTGCACATCTTTTCTATATAATGGTCAAGGCTAATTTCTTTGCTATCAAGTTACCGTAAATTGTGTTTCATTATGTCTTGTTTCCAGAGCGTTTCTTGGCTTTTTTTACTAATAAATCCCTGTTATTTTAAAAGACCAAAATACACACCGGCAGATTTAGAGGAACGCAAAAAAGGGTAAATTTTTGAAGTAAATGTAGGTAGGTTCTATACATATTTTTTTAATATTACAATAATAATACAATGGTCTTATACTAATTAAAATAAATGCAAATGTAACTTAAACAATATTGCACGGCATATCCTTTGCTGGCACGTAAGATTTTAAGCCAACATCTTTCAAACGTCTTCTTACTGTCCTTTCACTTACATTGACGTTACGGACTTCTTCTAAACGATTTCGGGTCTGAACAGCTGTTTGACGACGATTTTGTAAAGTTTGCATGACTACGTCATCTAAGGCGTTAGTTGCCCAATTTCTGCCCTGCCCAATCCTCCGCACGTACGATCCAGTCTGTCTGTAACGAGCATTGTGCTTAGATCCTCCACGGTCTCAGCCATGACTACGATATCGTCCGCGAAACGAAGAATTTTAGTTATTTAGGTTTAATTGAAATATCTTTAGACCATGTAGATGTGTGTACAATACACGCTACGGCAATTAGTAATTTGGTAAAACGTTTGACCGAATTTACGGTACCTATTTGCTTATCAACAATATTTTTGATGGAGCGAATCGTGTTTATTTTAAGTACCTAAATGAGTGATGCAAAAAGTTTATCTGGCTCATGAAAGTCGCCTTTATCGTAGTAGCTATTTTATTCCATGTAATAAGTTCAGGTCATTATTAGTACACTCATTTCAACACTAACTGTCGATCAACGCCCACGCATTATCAAACCCCCACCAACATTATGACCGAACCGTTATAGATAGTATGCGTAATGGACTAATGTGGTTTGCGATAATCCGAGATAAAAGGCTTTTGTTAGAAAGCCCTTGAGAACTTTCCACAATAACCCGCTATGGTGGGGTAGAAAGATGTGGATTTTCCGCCGTGCGCAGACGCTCCCTTGCATCCCCGTCAACGCATCTCGGTTACGTGAGGTCAGTGACACTATTTTTTGTGTGATTTTTAGTGACGTAATAATGTAATAATTACATTGATTAATGGTATATTGGTAGACTTTTATTGTTACAACAAAATAGTCTCCATTTTGTGGTAAGCATAATTTATTTAACTTATTTCTTCTTCTAATCTAATTTTATTTGGATGGAAGAATCAGTTTTTAAGAATTGCACTGCGAAAATGTATACGTGTTTCTGTTCCCGAATACATGTAACTTAAAAGCCTTAGTAATAAATAGGTACAGTCACGAGCAATTAATACATTGTCACATTTTCTAAAATATCTAAACTTGTACCAATCTAGAATGAAGTTAACGACAATTTGTTCTAAATTAACTTACCATTAAACAATTTCAAAATAAGGTATACGTTTATTTCACATTAATATAAGCAAAACAAATTCATAAATACATTGACACTTCGAAAATCATTTTTAACTATCCATGTCAATTTCTATAATAATTATGTATACAAATGTACACATTGCATGTACTCGTAATAGACATTGTCATGGATACCTACATCAAAATGATATTGGAAGTGTATACTTACCTTTGCCGTTTTTGAAACTTTACAAGTGACGAATACATAGTCACAGACAATTTAATTTTTAGGAATACCTACTTATTTTCCAAATAATACTCTAACAAAACATTAAAACATTTAATAAAATACTTTTATTAATGTGAAAAACATCGAAATAATTTTATCAACATCATCTTAGCCTCGACGCCTCCTTGGCTTGGTGGCTCCTTCCACCCAGCGCTGCCTCTTTCATATCTGCTTTTTGTTTTTTCTCCATTTATTACGACTTTTAACGCTGCCACCATGTGTTAAGAGGCAGTAAATAAATAAAATACCGAATTACTGACTGAGTATGTTTTATTATTCTTACGAGACCTCAGACCAAGGATAATTACAAGACCCATTTACAAGATGGCTTTGATGGTTTTGAACGTTTGTCACCCGCTTTGCAATGAAGGGAAGTCGAACCTTATTTTCGAACTCCTCCTATGTTCTTCTGATTAATTTCGTTGCGGGTCCAATGACAGTTTAACTTTCCCCCGGGACAAACTTGACCTTCATTGGTTGGGTTTTTGTGGCGGTCAAGCTGTAGATCCTGGCTACACAGGAGTTGCAGTGCTGGGAACGAGAGGTGGGAATAGTCCTGTTACAAGATAGCCGCCTTTTTTAATCGACCAAAGACAACATTCCAAACCCAAAGATGATACAAAAGTAATCAAGTTTAATTCACTGTCGCTTCACATCATTATTAATTTTTAAAAAAGAATTATCCGTAACTAAATAAATTAAAATCTTGTGTAGCCACCTTCAGCGTTTATAACATCTTGCAACCTTTCCCGCATTGATGAAACCATGTTATTCCATAGCCATACATCGCTGCCTCTCAAACTATCCCATATCTCGTGGACGAGTCTGGTCAAGGTTTCTTTGGTTCTAGCTTGGTGTCCTACTCTTGAACCATCAGCCCCCACGAATTCTCAATCGGATTGAGATCTGGGCTTTTAGGCGGCCATGGTAACAAATTCACCAAATTTTGGTGGCGATTAAACCAGGTTTGAGTGTATCGCGAATTATGGACCCCTGAATTGACTTGCACAAAAATTATTATAGACGTCAATCCGGGAAAGTATGCCTCCAAACTGGGCACTAAAACTTCGTCTAAAATATCCGTATATTGTTGGCTATTCATTCGACCACTGACCTCGGTTAATTCACCAGGTCCACTGGCTGCCATCCAGCTCCAAACGCCGAAGCTTATCCGGCCACTTCTTCTAGATGGCAGTGTATTTTTTCCAAATATCGAGTGTTATCAAGCCGCCATAAAGAATGGATAATGTTTGTATTATTATTCCATTTTCTTCCCTAATCTTTGAATTTTTGACGAATTTCAATATCTAATTAATCAACAATTAATCTCTATGCTGAATGCCAGCTTCTCAGCGTTCGTCAACTGTACATATCTGCTACGATTGTATTCTTTCACAGGCAAGCTGGCAATGCGGCACGCACCTCGTACAGATCACTTAAGTGGGAACTACCCAGATCTTTTAGCTTTATGGGTCCATATCTTTACACTCAGGTATACAAGATAGATAAAAGTATTATTAAATATGACCAGTGGTGCGATTGTCTAAGGCAATCGTATTCATTTGACAGTTCATAACGTACGTTATGATGTGTCAAACGGCTAATTCTAATTGTGTAAGGAGTTCATAAAACGATAACGATATGATAACGATTTGATCGTAATTTTATACGATGAGTGAATGATGAATATGATTTTGACAGAAAATTCGAATTGTCTAAGTTTCATGAGCCCATTGCTAATGTCAAATGATTGCGGTGACTCGTAACTCATGATAATCGTATAAATTCTCATAGAGGTGTAATTATATCCTCGTCCTCGTATGCAAATTGTTAATTTATTTCTTTGAAAGATAAAGTGTGGTAAGCGGTGAGTGCTTGGTGTTAATGGAAATAAGTTTTAGTGAGACACAAGAGTTCTTTTTCATCAACAACTATAGCACTAAAAGCTGGGTTAGGGTATAGCAAAGGGGGTCCGAGACATAGCCGAATTTTCGAGCGTAATTTGTATGGCGCCGACACTTAAAAAAATTTCGACGGCTTTCGTATGGAGTTTAGACTTAGCCGAATTTTCAAAGGCATTTTGTATGGAGCCGAGACTTGTAAAATTTTCGCATATTTATGTCCGACTCACACTTGACCGTTTTTTGAGGTCGGAATATTATGGGCCTAGGTGCCGGACGGCACCAAGTGTTAAGTTGGATGCAGTCTAGGATGGTACATATCTGGGCTGTAAGTGCCTATTCACTCTCGCCTTGTAAACACCCGGATTATAGTCTTCGGGAAAGACAGCAGCAGGCAACAAATTCCAGTCCCTAGCTGTTCGCATTATAAGAGTCATAATAATGTTATGTTGTGTAAGTATGTTGAACAGTTTATTGGTTAATGTCAATAAAATAGGCCTTACCGTTTTCCAGGCTTGCACCTCTTTAGACGTCCCATCCCCAATCTTGTTTAGTGCCCAGGACGTGTTGCGCCAGAACTCAAGTCAAGGAACCCTCATCACACGACCACGCGCTGTTACTACATTATTTAGCTGGGTCTCCATCTGGCGTGGGCAATTATTCTTGCCTTTGGCACTGAAAATGAAATTGATTATTTGATATAGAAGAAACCAAAGTTACAGGAGTAGTTATTGAAACTTGGGTTGTTTTCATTTTTGATAGAATGCCTTAATTTAGTGTAATAATCTATACTTACTTGTGTTTAAAAACAAATTTAACATAATTCAAAAATTTCGTAAAAGTTTTTCAAGTTTTTTGACACTTGACAGATAACACTTGTCATTCACAGAACATAGATTAAAATACTACTTCTCAAAACACTTATTTATGTATAATTTATTAAATGTGAGATTAAGTTCGCCTTAGGTTAAAATTTTGGCATTAAAGTATAAATAAATAAAAAGAAGTAATCATTTCACGTCGTTTTTCGTAGTCCATTAACGCCACCTATTGTAGAGTAGTATTCAACTTAGCCTGCCTAGCCTTAAAGTATGTATGCCACCTGGGGGCGGGTAGTGGAACTCTTATTTCATTCGTTCTATGCGTTTGGTTATTTGATTTGCAGAGGTAAATTTTTAATTCGAATTCAATGTTTTTAAGAATAAAAGTATGTTATTAAGGTGCAATCATAAAATTTTATTAAAAAAAACTGCATTTGAACATGGATTTCATTTGTTATTTGTTAAAAAATAATGAGTTTTAGCGAATGTTTTTCATTAATAAAACGCAAATCCATGAAACGATTATATACGACCGGTCACTTTTCGGTCTTCATGAAATGGACAAAATTACACAATTCGAATTTAGATATACGATCGATGATCAATTGTATTCATTGTCCATCCATGAACAACTTTACACAATCGCACCTCAGAACAGGTTGCAAAACGATGGTATTTAAATGGCTACAATGCCAAAGTTATAATGATACGGAAACCTTACTCCAAACTCTCATCTAAATGCGGTAAATATGTATATATCCTGCCACTAGCGCTCACACACACACGCACTCACTCACTCACTCACACACACACACACACACACACACAAAAATATTTAATTTCTAACGATAAGAGTCGCATCTCAAACTTATTTGAAAATTATAAATATTCGTGGGTTCAATTCCTGCCTTAGGCAGTTCGATTTTTTTCAAGTTAGTTAAAATTTTCAAAATATATACAAAGTCATGCACGCACTTTATCTCGAAACTTCAATGGGAAGACTGGTCTCCACGACACAGGGAATCCTAGTGTGGAGTCCAGTGAAGATGCTGTTAGTACATACTTACTGTATAAATTGAAATCCGTTTTTGTTCTGAATGTAACAGTAACCAGATCATGTACTGTAATATTTTTGGACTAAATAAATTTCATTTTCATTTTCAATTACTACAAGTGAGATATCATTGAAAAGAAGATAAGCTAGAGATGTTTTTAAGTTCACTGGCAATCCATTATCACCTTTAATTTTTTTTTTAATCGAATTCTACGAGGGTAGGTCAAAAAGTTCGCGGAACGGGGGGTATGGAGGGTGAAAAGGTAACTTTTTTCTACGGCATTAGCAGTCACACTCATCAAAAGCATAAATACGAAGTATTATTAAAATCGGAACATTATTCACTGAAATAAAATTCAATAAGCAAGTCAATCCGGAAAAAAATCACAACACTGAGAAAATTGACTTTCGCGCAGTCAATTTTCTGTGTTGTGATTTTTTTCCGGATTGACTTGCTTATTGTTTAAGTTATTGTATTCATTAAGTTTCTGATTAAGCTAGGAAAACTTCTTCAAACTATTTCGAAAGAGATTTTTTTGTTTATGGGGACTCTTGCCTTGGTAAAACTATGATTTGCAAGTGGCAAAACCTTTATAATCAAGGCCGAGACTCAATTGAAGATGAGTAGAGCCGGGGCGGCCTGACGAAGCAACCACGACAGAAACATCTTCTCAGTTGCTTTCCAAACCATATTATCTCTATGCTTAAAACTGTATGTGTGTATAACCAATTAAGCAAATGCCAGTCGTACATTTTAAATACACTAACCTAAGTTAGGTAATTGCACCGCAGCAATTTTTCAGTGAGTAATTGGACAAATTGCATGTCAACGAACTGGATAGATTATTAACTACATACCATGTAAGCAAGCTTCGTTGCTCTAGATCTTTCCAGCTTCACGTTTAGTAACATACTGTAATCTTTAGCAGACTGCAACCAAATGCCCTTCGAGCTGAAATGTTTTTCCGCCTTGGTTCAACAAACTAAGCACATTAGTACTATAAATAAAACCAACATCGTTAAAACTCGGATGGTGTTATCAACATTTATCACTTGCTTTGTTAACTTCATCAACATCATCCTCTTCATCAATATTATCAGCATAGGTCTCTTCCAATAACTATTGACATGACATTTTACTTACTACACTTCACTTTTCGTACCTATGTGTTTAGTAATCGTTTAATAAAAGAAACTAAGGAATTCACAACTTCTACTTCATTATTTTTGTCTTTGTAGGTATGCTGCTAGGGTTCAAATAAATATTCTTTACATTCGTAAGTGCCAACATACTGAATAAATATTTATCAATTCAATTTCATTTCATTTTCTACCTTATAGACAGGAAATACTTATAATACTTTATAAATTTCATCGAATTTGATAATTTATTTAAAAAAACCAGAATCCCATTTGAAAGTCACTACAAGAACAATTCCTGGTAATACTACATAATACATGAAACAAGTTTATATCTGTGCCCCTCTTCCAGAGTGAATTGCTTTCTAATAATAAAAAGTTGAAACTTACACATTATAATTATTGGAAATGGGGTTTGAGAAAATAACAAAAAGCCGTTTCAGAAAGTAAAAACTGTATTCTTCCAAGGAAGGAGAAAAAAGTAGTGACATTGACATATTGATACATGTGCTTC